ATATTGAAACTTGAATCATTTTATCGGAGGTGAAAGAATTCGTGTTTCTCAATTAAAGAATAGGGATAGGATGCATCTACGAAAATAACTTACAAACACTATTATTTTCCGCCATTGACCACAAGTCGTTAAACCGTTTAAATAGAGGGGGCTTAAGTGGGAATATCGATCACACTGCGTATAACGGCACCTTGAATATGTAAATATATATGTATGCGTGATGGATCACAAAATGCTGGAAAGATAAGTCTCGAACGTAACCGGTTACCCCAACAAATTAGGAACTATACCATTTTCCCGTTCCCAATTTCAAATTGGAAATTGGGCAATTAAAACGAGTGCTAAAGTGCTGCAAGCGTGGTGCAGGAGGAGGAGGAGTTGTGGGGAAAATGGCGCAACCGCCGCCAGATCAAAATTTTTATCATCACCCTCTGCCGCACACACACACACACCCGCCGCACCCCCACCCGCATCCTCATCCCCACCATCCTCATCAACATCCGCAGCTGCAATTGCCGCCACAATTTCGGAATCCCTTTGATTTGGTAAGAATATTTCGTTTAAAGCAAGGAAAAGCTGGTGTAATGTGTGATCCCTGATCGTGTAAAGCTTTTCGATGAGCGAACGGGGGCCATTAACTACAATTATATCCGTCCCTATCTGCCCAACCAGATGCCCAAGCCCGGTGAGTGCTGAAACACGCAGAGAACACAGAAACTGTGACATTTCTAAAGCCCATTCCCCCGCTCCACAGAGGAGCTGCCTGATTCCCTGGTGATGCGACGGCCACGACGCACTCGCACAACATTCACCAGCAGTCAGATCGCCGAGTTGGAGCAGCATTTCCTGCAGGGACGGTACCTGACCGCACCACGACTGGCCGATTTATCGGCCAAACTGGCTTTGGGCACGGCCCAGGTGAAGATCTGGTTCAAGAATCGTCGTCGTCGACACAAAATCCAATCGGATCAGCACAAAGATCAGTCTTACGATGGCATGCCGCTGTCGCCGGGCCTCAAGACCAGCGAGGGAGACCCGCCCAGTCTGCAGAATCTCACTTTGGGCGGAGGGGCCACACCAAATGCCCTGACTCCCTCGCCCACCCCTTCGGCAACGACAGCCCACCTGGTGGAGCACTATGGTGAGACATTCAATGCATACTACAACTACAATCATGGCCATGGCCAGGCTCAGGGCCAGCGCCATGTGGGCCACGTCCATGGACAGTATTCGGGGGCACCAGGACCCCAGAATGGAGCACAGTTCTTTCAGACACAACAGCAGCAGCAGCTCCATCAGCAGCAGCAACAGCAGCCGCCACACCACCATCAGAATCATCAGCAGCAACAGCAGCAGCACCTGCACCATCAACTGCCGCACACAAACCACGTGCCGCATCAGATGCAGGCCCAGCAACAGCAGCAGCAGCAACAGGAGCAACAACAACAACAACAGCAACTGTATCATCATTTTGATTTCCAACAAAAGACGGCCAGTGCCTGTCGGGTGGTCAAGGACGAGCCGGAGGCCGACTACAACTTTAACAACTCGTATTATATGCGCTCGGCCCTGTCTGGTGTTGGTGTCGCCGCCGCAGCTGCTGCTGCTGCTACAGCCGCACCCGGAACAGCATCGTCGGCCGTTGCGGCGGCGGTGTCGGCGGCGGGTGAGGTGGTGACGTCTGCCCTGTCGCCCGGCTCCGAGGTCTATGAGCCATTAACACCCAAAAATGACGAGAGTCCCAGTCTATGTGGCATTGGCGGCCCCTGCGCCACGGCTGTCGGCGACACGGACATAGCCGACGACATGGACGATGGGACGACCAACAAGAAGACGACGACGCTACAGGTGAGCGAGCGGATGATCTCTCTTCCGACATTCCTCCTCCACTAGATGATCCATGCTTCTTTCCATTTCCATTCCCATTCCCATGTAGAACCTGGAGCCGCTAAAGAGCCATACGGTTGTGGTTGGTCTAGACAAAAGCTGTGACGATGGCAGCAGCGATGATATGAGCACAGGCATGCGGGTGCTGTCGGGTCGCGGAGCCTTTGCCAAATTTGGCAAACCATCGGCCGGACAGGCCCAACCACCGCCCCCGCCATTGGGGATGATGCATGACACGAACCAATATCAATGTACGATGGATACGATAATGCAAGCGTATAATCCGCATCGTAATGCCGGAGGCAACACACAGTTTGCCTACTGCTTCAACTAGTAGTATTCCCGGGGTAGATTTATTTATAGACTTAAGCGAAAAACAACCATATCTGTTGTTTCCTGATTGTACAAATACCAAACTGATTGTAGATATCTGCGCGTAGTTATTTGTAAGCCTGAATTGTAAATTTGTTCTTAGTGTTTTTATGTACTAGCCTAGTCAGCAGGCGGCACATTTCAATGATTCTTCAAGTGGTACTATATATATTTCTCACTTTTATCGGCAACTTTCTCTGCCATACGTTCGTTGCTTCGTTTGTTTTTGGTTGGGTGTTCCCCCAAAAGCCCAGGGATACCCTGCTAAAACCAAACGAGGTGTTTTATTGGGCTTGAACGTATGCCAGAGAAAGTTCTTTCCCACATTTTAAGTTCCTCAAAAGCAAAGGAATCTCTGTACTGTAACAAATTTTGTCATAGCTAAAACCTGTACTTATCGAAATGCAAAATGTTTCTCTTGGTTGGTAATCATACAAAACTGTATTATTACCAGCTAAAGATTGAACATTTAAACAATTCCGAATACGCCATGACAAAAGCGTTGGCTTGTTTCGACATTTGGACATTCTTTCTACAAGAAATGTCAGCAAATTGTCTGCCAAGACAAACCAAACATTTGTTTCGTTCTAGGATTCTTTTACTGAATTATTTATATTATATCATATATTTATATCCTAAGTTTCCATTTGAAAATCACTTCAAGTTTCATTGAAATCTGCTTAGCTTCGATTTGTAGTTTAAGAACCACGGTGCACCATTGTCATATGTTCTCTTTTATAAGCTTTTTTTTGTGTGTAAAGTAATTCTTTGGGAATATATAAACAACATATGATATGCTTCCCAAAAACTGTGCCACCAGGCGCGTATGTTGAAAATCTTTCTGAACGAAAACTCGCATGGTTTTTCCGAAAATCTTATGAATTTAAACATGCACTTTTATGGGCCCCGTTATCCTCCCGCTCGCACATGCATGTCGTAAAATCTGATTCGCGATATTTCTACGAAACCCGCGAGTCGTAAAATATTTTGGCACCACCAGCAGCTGCCTGTGTTTATATAGTTACCTGATCCGCTGAACCTGAACATATCCGCGACCCGCACCGATGCGGCTGTGTGTGTGCACTATTTAGGTAGGCCGTGTACAGGCTGACGAGGGCGCCGTCAGCGCTGGTCGGCAGGCCAACTTGTACTTGTTGCCTCAATTTTCTTTGATATAAATTATGGAAAATCCGGGAAACCAAAACGCTCTCTTTACATGAACGAATCTCGATTGGAAATTCCAGTGTTTCCCAATTTTTATTGAAGCCCAACAGAAATGGGCGCGTTCTCAAAGGTGGATTATTCCGATGGATGTGGGTTGTGTGCGGGGGAAATTCCCAAAGGAAGAATGAATCTTTTTAGAGCATAATGGAAATACATATGTATATGAAAAAAATATAATATATTTTATACTATTTTAAATGATTGTGATCCTTTTGATATATTATAAAAAATTCTAAAATTAAATTTATATTTGATATATTGCTATAATGTATTGTGCGGTAAATATGGATACAACTAAAGGGTATCAATTGGTTTAGCATTTGATATAAGATATAAAGAAGTTTATTGTATGATAGTCATCATATATCATGTATAGTTCGGTACATTTGTAAAATATATTAAAGTCGAATAAAGCTCCTCTTCTGTCCTGCCTGATTCCACATTTTCATATTTTCCACATTTAATATTTAAAGACCATGATTCAAAGATATAAACAGATATATTTGTACTTCTTCAGAAACCATTCTTCCCCTGCTTTCCTTTGAAATTATATCACTAAACTTCAAGACCTCAAATCTCTTCCAAATAATATTATTAAAATTTTGTCGGATTAACATTATTATTATTATTTCAACTTAAGATACCCCCCTCAACTGTACCACAGATGCCTCACAAGATTCCCCTGTTATGACTTCGCCTTTGTTCCATGGATATTTTTAGCGAATTCTCAGAAGGAGCAAATCCGATAGCGCCAGTAATAAAATGTTTGCCAAGTCCGAGGATCGAAGGACCGCGACAGATTCGCATGGATTCACAGTAGACGAGTATAGTCTGAGGCTTCTGCTGCATGGCAGCAACAAAACGAGTGCCATAAACTCCCCGAGGAGTATCCTTTTTCGGAGCGTTGCTTTCATTGCATTATGAGGATAATTGTGGGACGGGGCGAGCGACCAAAAGCCGCGACACGAAACACAGGGGAGGGGCGCACAACGGTTTCACTTTCAGCGCCGGCCGACTCGACTCTTCTTCAACAGGTGCTACGAAGTTCAGAGCTGTCTTTGGTTTTGAGATCATCATCAGGCCCAGTGCCTGACGAAGACGACGACTGTCTACCTGGCTAGACTCTGGCCGCGACCATCACCCCGTGCGGCAGTGTCTCACGTAACTGCCAAATCCTTGGTTGGATTTTGATCAAAACAAGCCTCTAGATTGCCCATTCCCAGGACTCCCGTCCGACTGGAACTCAGACGCACGAGTCTTGGCTAGTCTGGATGGTGCCATCGGCGGTACGATGGCGGCGAGTGCGACGAAAGGAAGGCCAAAAAGGGGATTTATGACTCGCGGGTTTAGGCAAATTTTTTCGCAACGCAACGGGCCCTGACCTGAAAGATGACCCTCTACCTAGACCTAGACCAAGACCAAGAGTTCTATATAAAGAGAGAATGTTTGCATAGGGCAGCATATCATTCTACTCTGGACCGTTCCGCGTACAACATCAGCAGCCCAAAACCGAGATCATGTCATCCGTCATGCATTACTATCCAGTGCATCATCCAACAACAGCTCCGCCAGTGGTTAAATACAGCGATGTAAGTCATACTAACCCTTTCTAATTAAAGGATCTTACTAATTTAATTTATCTTTTCCCATTAGTTGCTCTATGGACACCATCATTCGGCGAATCTGCAGCCTACCTCTCTGCAAAATTACACGCAGCACAGTGTCAGCAGCATACCAGAGCATCCTTCGTTGCAGCAACATCACCATCAGCAGCAGCAGCTCTCCTCCGATGAGAATCTGTCCTCGCAGCCCAACCAGGATACGCAGCGAGTGAAGCTGAAGCGTTCCAGGACTGCCTTTACCAGCGTCCAGCTGGTGGAACTGGAGAACGAATTCAAGAGCAACATGTATCTCTACCGGACACGTCGCATCGAGATTGCCCAGCGACTGTCCCTCTGCGAGCGACAGGTGAAGATCTGGTTCCAGAATCGACGCATGAAGTTCAAGAAGGACATCCAGGGACATCGTGAGGCCAAGGCGAGTGCTAAGCTGGCTCAGCCCCAGGCGGAGCAGAGTGCCCATCGGGGTATAGTGCAGCGCTTGATGTCCTACTCGCAGGATCCCAGGGAGGCGGCCGCCAGTGCAGCGGAGAAGCGTCCTGCTGTGGCAGCAGCCGTTCCTCCTGTGGTTGCTGCTGCACCTCCAGTAGTGGCTGCTTCCGCAGCCTCCTTCTACGGCCAAGCAAAGACCAAGCCACAAGCCATCCCCAATATCTCAAACAACAACAACAACAACAGCATGTGCTCCTCCGATCTCAGCGAGATCCTGGAACATCTCGCACAGAGCACAGCGCTGCCAACTGCTGCAACAGTAGCCCCCTCTGCCCCTGGGGCAGCCATTGGCGGCACTACTTCTGGATCATCTGAAGTGGCGGCCTCTGGCCACTATTCCTACAATGTGGACCTCGTCTTGCAGAGCATCAAACAGGATCTGGAGGCAGCTGCCCAGGCCTGGTCCAAGTCCAAGGCGGGGCCTGTCCTAGCCAATGCCCAAGCCTGGCATCCCAGTGGCGGCGGCTCCTCCAGCACTGTACCGGTGGTGCATGCGGCACCCTCGATGAATCTGGCGTGGGGCGAGCCAGCGGCCAAGTCCCGAAAGCTGTCGATCTCCCACATCAATCCCTGTGTGGCCGGCGCCGGCTACAACTATCAGAACTAGGAACTCAGAACTGTAGCTGCAAGTGTGTATCTGTCTCTGGTGTGAGTATCTTTATACTCTTAAGTATCTTTAGCATATCTCTAAGCTCTAAACGTCTCTGGCACTTGGACGCAAAATTCATTTGTCGCCCCCCAAAACTCAGTGACAAGCACAACTTTTGATTATTTCGATATTATTATTATTATTAGGTATTTTATTGGAATTTAAGAATATCTTTTAATTAAAAACTTTGCATATTACTATATATAACATAAAATATAATATATGTAGGTTGCCTATAAAAAACACAACTGTTTCAGGCTTGTATATGGTTCTGTTTATATTTAAGGAAGTTGGAGGAAATAAGAGGTGAAAGAGGTCCTTGAAACATAGTTTTTATGAAAGCTTTTTCCCTCTAGCTTATCTAAAGATCATAATTATACAAAGATCATTATAAAACTTATTGTTTTTGGATACAAAACAAGAGATAACGTGAACAGAAAGTTTGATCTTTAAATCTCTAGATTTAAAGTTCTCATTATTTAAAATAAATTGGTTTAATTAAAAAAAGATACAAAATTGGTATTGATATCCTTCTGAAAATAAATCTAGAAATACCCAAGAATACTTTCAGTTATCATTTCCTGAACTATCTACAAAGTCTTGTCTTCCTTTCCCCTCCATTTTTCCAACTTTCAAATACATTGCCCCTTTCTTTGATACTTTTCCCAGCTAAACTTTTGCTACCATCCCGTGAAAACCCATCAGTCCTTTGAACAACCCGCTTGCCCCCCATAAAAGTGGATACTTTTCTGGGTAGAGAGTTAATTTTTAGCATTTAGTAGCAGCATTTATTTGTGTCCCAGTGTTGGTTGTCTTTGGTTTCACTTTTCCATTTAATGTCCCATTGCGGACGACTTGAGGTCAAGTCGAGGAATTTCCATTGTATTTGCCATCTATTAAGGTCGTTGAAAAGTGTCAACCGCATTAACTTGGACAGGTCCTCGGACCCTGCTGGACCCTTGTTCGGCTTGGACCATGCTCGCACGTTGGTCATCTTCGGAGGCTGCCCTTGAGGTGGTGTGTGTTACGATTTGATTTATGGATATTTAACCGCACACATTACTTGGACTCTCTGGGCCTTCTGGCGAGTGCTGCCGGACAGCGTCTTTCGGCGCGGAAATGCGACACTCAGCTTCAGCTTCAGCTCCAAGGAATTTCCACCACACACACACTTTTCCAGCTGAAGTGACTCTCCTTTCTTCCTTTTGGGGGATTGAGGACAGGAAGGACATCCCTTTTGGGCAGGGACATGCCTCGCCTCTGGTTGTGTTTGGTGTGTGGCAAATTGCTTCCCCTGGGAGGAAATTGTCGCTGCCACTTGCCACTGCCACACATAGAAAGCCAGGGAAAATAGTGCCCAAAGAGTAACAGAGTGTGGTGGCCATGTGGCTTAGAGAAGGGGTGGCAGGGCAAGGGGTGGGTGTGGAACCATGGAATTTTCATGCGCATTGTTGACATTTTCCTGACATGTGGTCCGGTGCGGTGCGGTTCTGCTTGGACTGGGAGCATGTCCTCCACATGCTTTGAGGCTGAGACTCTCTCTCTCTCTCTCTATCCCCATAATGAATATAGATGCGAGTCGTGGGCGTGGCAAATCGCCCGGCCCGGCCCGCACAGCTAATCAAACTCGAATAAAAAGCAAAGAAAATTACGCGAAATGCCAATGTAATAAACATGTCCAACAACACAGCACAGCACAGCACAGCACACAGGCACAGATTGTTTCTATTGTTCAGTTTGGAATGCCTCTATTCCTCCTCAATCATTCCGGCAACATTGCGGTTTTATTAGCCAAAGACAGAGCCAAAGTCAGAGCCAAAGACAGAGCCAGAGCCACCGTCGAGTGCCTGAAGGCCTGATGACAATGCCACTTGCCTTGGCCCGGTCATAACAATAAATTCTATAGCCACAGCACAGCACAGCCTCAGCCGCCTCTTCTCCCGCCAAAAAAACATTTCAAATTGTTTCTTGTTAATTAAATTAAATATTCACTTGGCTGTTTCCTCCCCCCTCTCCATCTCTCTCTCTCTCTGCCTGGACCACAGCGTTTTGTAATTAGATTGAATCTATAATTTTTATGGCTAATCGCCTTAGAGCTTTCCCTCCTTGCTGGCCGCGCAATGAATTTTGAATTTGCGGCCAGGACATTCGCGGAATCCTTGGCGACAGCCGACCAAAATGTATTTTCTGTGCAAATGAAATGAGCTTTCGCCTGAGGAATAGTTCTATCTTTAATTAACTGAGGGAAAAGGTGGGGAAAAGAGCATCTAAAGAGGGGTCTTTAGAACTGAAATATTGAAAGAGTAAAGCTTATAAATCCCGAAGGCACCCAAAGGTAGCTCCCTAAAAGTTCTACATTTTTCCATAATCTATAAACCATGAAAACTCTCTCAACCAAAAGGCTATCCCCAGAGCTCTACCTATCTCTACCTTACAGCCACACTCTTTCCCTATCTCTGTCTATATATTTTTGGCCAGAAATTTGAATATTTTTGGCACGTTTAAACGTTATGACATTTCACAGACGTGTCAGTCCCTCAACGCCCGACGCTATGGCCAACACCTGTCGTATAAACAAATCGTGCAAAGAGCACAGAAAAAACTTTCCTTTCCATTCCATTCCACATATGCCAGCGGTGTTGTCCCGCCGTGTCCTGTCCCAAAATAAAAAAAAAAAATGTATATATTGTGGCACAGCAGGCACAACAGCAGCAGGGAAAAACTCTACTTATTTTGTATTCCATGGAAGATTGTGAATGCGTGAAAAAAATCACTTCAAAATTTGAATGCCAATTGCTAAAAGGGGAGCCCCAAAAAAGGGGAATTCTTGGGCATACAATGGAAATTTTGTTGCGCCTTTCCCTTGAGTCATGGGGGTCGTGAGCCGTGCGGTTGTTGCAAGCATCTGTTGCTGTTATTTTCGGCTTGATAATACCCTTAAAGAGGGTATGGTAAATTGTATCAACAAAAAAGAAGGAAGAAATAACTATGGCAATGAATATTGTGGGGTATTTAAAGCTTCGGATAGAAGTATTTGTTCATTTTTTTTGGGGAAATATATAATATTTTGGGGCAAAGGAGACTCTCATTAGAGTTCTTTCCATCTCCTGTTTCCACAGCACAAGTGGTTCCTTCAAGTGGTTATCCCATACCCTCCTAGATACTCGTATCCGTAGACCAATTTCATGGCTAATTCGGCTACCCCTAACCATCCCTCAACCCTCTCAATTCCATACACCATCTGATGTGCAACATATGCAAGTGACCTCCCGTATATGTATGTCTGTATAGGGGTAGGGGGTAGGGGTTGGGGGTTCCCATTCGTATTTATGGCCCGATGGCTGGTATATTTTTCATCGGTCTAAAACCCATAATTAAATTACGTGAAATTCATTTATAACAATTACGTCGAAATGGCAATCTATGCTGATGATGCCGCCACAGTACACACACAGGCCACAGTCCTCGATCTCTCTCTGCCACAAGGAACTTACGGTGGAAAAACTCTAAGCAACAGAACGAATATTCGTGTGGCAGAAAATAAAAAATGCTGTGCGTCATGTGAGCAATTTGGTGTCGTTGTCGTTTGTCCATTTGCCTGTGTGGCAGTGGCAGGCAGGCCATGGGTGCCACAACCAGTTCACTCGGCTCCTGGCTCTCTGCACAGTTCTCTGTGGCTCTCCTCCACCCCTCTCTGCACAGTTCTCTGTGTCTCTCCTTTTGCAGTGCACTGCAATTATTTATTCCTGTGCATTTGGTGTTTCCCCCCTTTCCGTTTCCTCGCTCCTTTTGCTTACATGGCGCTTAAGCATGTCCATGTCCGGTTTTTGCCCGTGTCCGTGTGTGTCCATGTGTCCGTATGGCTCCTAAATGCCTGGAACACACGACACAGACACATATCCGCCACCCATAATATACCTCCTCACTCCTTTGGAGGAAAAGGTGGATCCAATGCAAGGTAATGTCCCCGCAACATGCACTTCTACACTGAGGCAAAAAACATGGAAGATTGGTGGATTGCTGAGGCTTTGTGGGAAAGATATGGAATGAGAATATGATCTATATAGGATCTACAATGATATGGAAGAATATAGATTGAAATATCCATTTACATAAACATAAGATGGGGTCTGTTATCGAAATCTTTAGCACTCAAAAAGTATATTTTTCAGTGAATGAAAAGCGAGTGGAGTGCTCTTGGTGGTAGAGATCTGGAGAAGGAGTCGAGGAAGGAGCCCCGAAGTATGGGGACTTGAAAGAGGTTAACTGATGGAGACCCGGAGTGGTGGAGATGGTGGAGTGGTTGTGCAGACCCAAAGAAGAGTTGGAGGGGCTGAAGCGTGTTGGAGTCTTTTGGAGCTTCAGTTTGCGCTCAGATTGCGGCTCTACTATTATTAGATGCCATTATGTTTTATAGTCTATAATTGATCCTTTGAGCCAAGCAACGCTCATGCACTTTTCTGGTATGCATTTCTTTATCTTACAAATTATATGAGATTAAATGAAAAGTAATGTGAATGTGCATGTGAGCGTGAGTACTGCACGAGTGTGTATGCTAGTCTACTCCCATAATCATGAAAGCGATTCACGCAAATGACTGGCGAAATTGAGGTTTAATGTGATATGGTATTAGATATGAGTAAATATTTGATTAAAGTTTGGAGATTGCGAGAAAGGGGAGGAGCTGGAGAGAGGATATGAAAGTGAAAATCTCCTCAGACAACCACTCCTTCTCAAGACTCCCATAGATAATTGAATTGACTAATAATCCCAATATAATCCCTTCTTTATTACCCTCTAAATCATCGATACTATCGATATTAAAGGCACTGATTCCTTCAGTAAACAGCGACTATTGCTAGGGGCAACCCCACATTCCACTTTTTTGTGGGTTGCCCTGCGATACGTTTGCCCAGCTGTACGAGCCACAAAAACAAACAAAAACCCAACAAAGGCCAAGTCAAACACACAAATATTTACTCAAATCCTTTGGTCATTGGACATTAATATCTGGGAAAATATGTTTTCATTGCTGCACCCGCAAACGGATGAAAGTTTTCTGGACACGGAATCAACAGTTGAGGATGTTATACGCTTGCTACAGAGTCTACAGAAGCCAAAGGAGTAAGTGATGGACAAGATTGCCTATAATTGAATTACAAAACCTCTATATTTAGGGAGGGAGAAGAGGAGGCAGAAGCTCCTACAGAAGATCTGAGGGGGGAAAGTGTCACAGAAGACAATTTCATGGTCACCGAGCGTCAGAAGCCTTTGGGTCCTAAGAAGGTTCCTATTCCCATATTGAAATCTAAGAAGAAGAAAGCAGATCCTTCAGACGGGAATAAAGATCGATTTACATTCATGAGGCAGGTGGATGTGGATCATGAAGAGAGCTCCAAGGCGCGTCTGGAACGTGAGCGAGTGGCTCAAAACTTTCGAAAGTAAGTAGAACCAATCACAATCTCTACCCATAGATACATATCTCCCATCTTTCCCATAGATTGGGCAACTCTGAGTATCGCCAAGGAAACTACTTGACTGCCATGCGGATGTACAGCAAGGCCATCGAAAACATCAATGATAGCCACATTCTCTACATAAATCGTGCTCTTTGTTTCATTAAGTATGAAAGAAATAGCTCCAAATACCTTTGGGATGGCTCCCATTTCTAACAAAAGCTATTCTCTCTCTTTTATCTGTAGATCTGGCCGATTTAAGCGGGCCATAGTCGATTGTGATTACGTTTTGAACAAATTGGATGAGAAGAATCTGAGGGCGTGGCTGTATCGGGCCATGGCCTACAAGGGGCTCAACGATGAGGCCAATTTTGAGAACTGTGTGAAATATGCCCGCAAATTTAATTCCAAGCAAATGGAGTTTATTGATGGATTCCTGGAAAAGTTGAAATGAAACCTTTTTGGCAGTAGAAATAGAGTGCCTGAAGGAGAACTTATAAATGCAATAAATTATTGAAGAAAAGTATAGCTAAAGAAGGAGCAAAGGAAGGAATATTTTTGCTCTTTAATTTTATTGAATTTTTAATCCATAAAACACTGAATGCAAAGTTTGTTTTAAACTTTAAAGCAGGGCAGTCCCCAGCCCCCTTTCCATAGTCCAACCCCTAGAATATTTCAAGTTTTGTTTACATATGACAGCAGGAATTTCATGTTTGGTAGCTCAACTCTTTCGATTCGATTCGATGCCATTCCAATGCCATTCAATAGAAGTCAGACGACGACGACGACACACATCCTCTGGCACTGGCACACCCCTCCCACCGCTCTGGGTTTCCCCTGTGTTTCCTACCCTTCTCTGGATGAGGAGGGCAAACAATTCGATGGCGGTAATCAATCTTCCTTCACTCTCTGCCAGCTGACAGCTCCGTGGTGTAGAGTCAAATTGCGATCTTTGTTTGTGCCCCCGAGAACGGGATGGGTTACGGCCATGGCCAGGACGGAACAGTAGCAGTAGCAGCAGCAGCAGACCGTAGAACGGAGACCTGACACTCCAGCAATGGCATTGGATGGGGATGTTCATGGGTGGAATGGGTGGAATGGGTGGGTGCTCCATTTATGCGTGTCAAAGGTTGCGTGGCATAGGCAGAGAGCGACAGATTGAAGCCCCAGGCAGGCGACACAAATGTTGTACTTGTCACGGTTGTTGCGGTAGTTGCATCTTGTACTTGGAGGCATGGGGTGGGGGCATGGCGTATGCTGCCCCCAAAATGAGTCGTTACCCGCCTGAGTCGGCACAAAGTTCAGAGTTCTTATCCCACTCATTAATCCTTTCCATTTAACTCAATTATCTGGTATTTGTTCCACCGTTTTTATGGCGACTGAACAATAGGATAATCTTAAATATATGTAAACATATAGAAGCCCATCAATCAATTGTTTATGGATATATTTTTCAGCAATTCATGGCACAATTTTTCGATTGTAATTCGTTTTTGTTTTTCTGCTAACCAATCGACTGAAAATATATCAATTAGAAATACATTAAGCCCCGCAGCCCGATCATGATAAGAATCCAAAATAATTATCTATTACGAAGATGTCTATAAATAAAATGTGTTTTTTTTTAATACACCAAAATCATACGACTAGGCAGAGATATACTTTTTTATACACAACTTTATTCATTTATCTAGAAACATATTACGTTTTCAAGGCATAACTTTATCGATAATGAAATTCGACTAAGTTTTTATTATTGGCATAATCAAAATAACTAATAAAATGGCACACGGACTCGGACAACAGCTGACGATGAAATATTGTTCACAAAACATGGCCAAATCTAATATGATCTGACGGAACACTCCTCCTCCTCCTCCTCTCACATGTGACACAACATCCGGGACAGGCATCATCCAGAAGGAAAAGCCAAAGAAAATTTCAATATGCTGGAAATTACTTTATGATGTGATGACACCAATTTATCTAACAGAACGAGAGAGGGGGCTGGGGTATGGCTAGGGGATGTCCTTGTCCACCAAAATGTTGTGGACAAATGGCTGCCATTTGGGCTTCATCTTTTTAACCAGCTGAAAGGAATCTCTGAGGTTATCAATTTGGCCAAGAAGTTTTGTTTAGTTTAGGTGTCTGTCAATCCTTTAGGGGCTTTCATTTGTTGAATTTTTTTATTTGGTTGTGGCAAAAGGAACAATCTTTACAATAAATCTTAATACAATTTCCTCCTTTTGGCAGTCATATAAATATTTATGTACAACTTGGGTAACAACAAAATTATATTATATACAAAAATGTCTTAAAAGTCAATTAAATTCTGTATGAAATCAAAGTCCACCTGCAGGGACGCCCCAGAAGAGCTACTATTCGAATCCCAGCACAGATTTTGTCCCATAAAAAGATCTTGGGCGTAGGGATTGGAGCTGGGAATCTGTAGACTTTGAAGGGGTTCCGAGGTAGACTCAGGCGCAAACCAACTGCTGGGCCAATTTTGAGTCATTTGATTGATCGGCGGCTCCAGTTGGTTGATGGGCATCTCTGCGATCGGCAAGGGGGCTGGACAGAACTCCTGAAGGTAGTCATACGCCTGGTAGGGTGGCGTTATGTGTCCTTGTTGCGGAGGCACACCAATAGGTGGTAGAGGCATCCCGGCGTGCTCTGCTTCCGGTTGGGGCACACTCTCCACAGTTGTGTTCACATATTGCAAAAGACGTTCCACAATATGTTCGTGCTCCAATAGATCTTCCCTTGGTGGCAGGTCGCACAACTGTGTGGGGGTCAGAACTCCCTTGGCCACCTGCTTATTGGCCAACTTCTTGGACTTCATCCTGCGATTCTGGAACCAGATCTTCACCTGTCTTTCGGTCAGATTCAGTCGCTGGGAAATCTCAATGCGTCGTGTCCGTGACATGTATTTGTTCAAATGGAACTCCCGCTCCAATTCCAGAAGCTGATGGCTGGTGAAGGCCGTGCGAGATCTTTTCGACTTTTCCATGGATTTTGTGGCACCTACTGGGACGGCTTCCATGGTCGATGATTCACTGGGAAACATCTAAAAGTTTATAGAATGTTACGGATTAATTTCAACGATCTCCTTTTGAAAGATATGTTTTGAAACCTACCAGAAAATCACAGATGGAAGAGTTGTCAACAAAATAGTTTGTATTATTTGGGGAGAACATTTTCCTCGCTCGCTTGTTTCTTGAGTGTTCGCTCGGTGACAGTTCAGTTTTTTAACTAGATGCCTGAGAAGTTGTCTCATTTGCTTTTATACCAAACACCTCAGGTACCCCGCCCACGGAGTGGACCGCGAATCGGATCGGTTGCGTCCTGTCCCTACCTGTAGGGCGAGACGCCAGGGACTTTTGGGCAGCCGGCTGGTCTGCTCTCTCCTCTGGGCCTGGTCTGGACAGCTACTTATTGCAGTAGATGTCGCGTCTATCGGAATCAGAGTCTCTCAGCTAGCGACACTTTCCACGATAGCGACACACGATGGCGTGAGTCCTGATTGCGTCGTTTGTGTCTAATGATGGATAGCATTGGCTCGAATCTTATGGAAATAAGGAAATGAAAAGGAATTCTCTACAGCCTTCGATGCGGAATAGAGAGCAAATAAAGGAGTTCTTTAGGGATACCTACCCAAAATCTTCTTCACCTTTTGGTACTGTTAGGTTTTTAACTATTTCTAAGATCTATGTAAACCCTTTTTCAAAAGATTATTCTTATCAGAAAGAAGGACCTTTAAGTGATAGAAAAATTCCTTCAAAGTATAGCAAAACTTTTGCAATCAAACCCCAATCCCTCTTATCAGGTAGCCATCTATCATGAACGAGAAAGATTTCGGTTTTCCCCGGGGTTTTCCAGACGAGTTATGAATATCTGAGGGTTAAACTACCTGTTTAGCATAAGAGCGTGGTGCGTGCGATCCGAAAACACTGATCCCCTGACCATAAAACGTGTGTCACTTCTAGCTAATCCAATCGCCCGCTATAAAAACATCTTCAGGGGCCCATAGCCATAACGACATGTGCTACGTGCTACATGCCGCAGATTTACAATCGTTCAGGCTTATGCAAAATCTAAGACGAATTCTTGGACTAGTCCTGCAACAAGTAGTCCAATCTACATGAGAATCTCATAAGTGATCAGGTGATCACGATAGAAATCCTGAGCCCTGTCCTTAGCCGATGATCAGTGTGAAGTTTTAGTGAAGGTCGAGGATCTTTGTTGCAGTTGCTGTTGGAAATCTCTGGAGAACTTTTGCGACAGATAATTCCAAATACCTACCGACTATCAAAGGGTTGATTTACTAAAAAAATCGTACTGCTGTCATTCTTTAGACAATTTTATTGGATATTAGCTTATTTTCTAGTGAATCGATGCCACTAAAGAACTAATGTTTAAAAATCAAAACATAACATACAAACAAATTTTAAAAAACTTTCAAAGTTTCAGAAGGCTTTAAGATGGTAAAAAACTTAACCTTGGGTCGCTTTATCTTCAGCTGTATCGACACGAATCTAAACTCCTTTAAAAACTCGTACAATTATCTTTCAAAACTTTTTTTTTAATTGTGGATATTGGTGCTTCAGATGCTGAGTGGGTTATGAGTTTTTAAAAGAGATTTTGGGGGTATATTCCTAATTGTAAGTATGAGGAAGTGGTTTACTCATCTATAAATATAATCTTATTTTTTGGTCTCGTGCAAAGACCTTTCAAAAATTTCCATTTTGAGGCTCAGTAATATCTTCCAGAGGTAACTTTAATTTTCGCAGCTTTTTGAACATGCAATTAGGATCAATAAACGCTTTCACTTGTATTAACCCCAAACTATCAAAACGAGTTCTTGTAAATGGGACATATGGGATATAAATTCCTAAAAGTCATATCAATTTAGACCCCAATAAAAGGTGCCTCCCCCTCATGTAATATTCTGCGTAATAATGTTATTTACACCTGTAATGACATGAATGTTTTAACATCTACACATAATTACAATATTTTACAGTGGATCCCAATGGTGGGGTGGATGGGGGGAGCGAATCCCTCTCCATTCTCCACTCTCCATTGAAATGCACTAAAAACAGAGCGTGAAAAAGAATGAGCGAGAAGCCGCAAAAACAAAATAAAATCGAGAAAACAAGCGAGGAAAAACAGTGAAAAGCGAAAGATTGACAACATGATGGTTAGACAAGCGAAGAAGCGGTGCCCAAAACAAAAAGAGCGATGAGCATAGCGAAATGTCAAAAATCCCCAAAAGCCAACAAAAACGACAGGGAGAGAGCGAGAGCGAGAGAGAGGAGCTGCTGGCAGTGCTTTTGCTGCGCTTTCTGCTGCCTCTGCTGCACCTCTTCTTTATTCCTTGTTTCTTCTTCTGCTGCTGCTGCTGCTGCGGAATGTGTAAATAACAAAAACGAAATAAATTCCGTCACAAGCAACACGTTCAAAAAAAAAAAAAACGCACAAAAGCAGAAGAAACCGCGGGCACAAAAACAAAAAAAAAGCAATAGCCGCTGCGGAAATGACAGCCGACAGCAGCAGAGCGAGAGCCACAAAGCGACAGCAACCACAAAGATACAAAAACCAGCAGTCGACCAATCAGCGCACTGGAGACTTTCATGTGTGTGTGTGTATCGTTGTATCTGTATCTTTTGGTGGGTTTGGTCTTATTTACCCCCGACCCGACGGCCAAGAGCTGTGCACTGCGCAAGTCCTGACTTGGAAATTTACTTGAAATGATTTGCTGCCTGCCGCAGAGCACCACTCAAGTGCTGGGCGCGCATTTCAGTGCGTTCGGTGTTATTGGATGGGTTGGTTGGTTGGCTGTTGGCTGCCTGCTGCTCTCTCAAAGCTCTCGGCCCCACAGGCGCAAGCCGCCCCAAGTCTCGCCACCAGCCAGTCGTTGTTCTCCGTTCAGTCGGTCTCGTTTCTCTCCCTCTCGAAGAGGTTCTCAAAGTCGCGTCGGAGAAGCTTATGTTTATAACTATTCCAGCAAGAATTTCAATAATAAAAGTTATCAAATAGTTGGCTTATATTAAACTAGAATAAACTCGTATCTGAAACGCATCTCAGCCACCATTGGAACCCACCTGAAAGAGCAACAACAACGATATCGAAAAACCGGTTACTTAGTTACTTACTGCGCACCTACCGAATGCCAGACAGAGACAGCTAGTGTGTGCGTATGTGAGTGGAGAAAAGTGTCTCCACCGGTTCGTGCGAGTGTGAGTGAGTGAGTGAGTGAGTGTCACTGTGGCCATTGACGATCCTCTCCAAAGCAAAAAAAAACAACTCTACACAGAGTGAAAAACCAACAACCTCCACATACGCATACGCACCGTGGTGCTGGCCTGCTGCTGCTGTACTTGTGACTGTGTGTTTTGGCCTTTTCGCGTCCGTCGCCATGGCTGCCACCAGCAGAGGTGTGTGCAACCGAAACCGATACTAAACCCAAAACTGTCGTCGGTGGCAGCAGCACTTGGCGCTGCAGCGCTTGAGTACACAACGAACGAACGGTCGTCGGCCATATCACAATCACAATATTCCGTGTGCTCCCATTTCCCTTTACCTTACCCTCGTTCTCGTCTCGGTTCGGACCCCACAGATAAGCCATACAGGCCCCAACGCATGGGGGTTCTTCGACTAAAAACCCGCATTGCATTGCAAAAGTTTTGCAAAACAAAACAAAAAGTTAAACTAAACAAATTGTGGTGGAAAAAGTGAAGACAAAAGTGAAGTGAAAAAACCCTAGTGAAAAATACAAATAAAACCTTTTAGAACAGAACATACAATATGGAATTGAATCAACATTAAAAGATCTTATTGAAATGGTAGGTGAAAATATCATTATATAAATAACATATTGATATCGTTTCGGAATTAGTACATCTCTTCTACAATAATACCATTTTGCCATGAAAAGTTTATGAATAAAATGCAGATATGATAAGCTCTTATTTTGAAGAACATAATATGTTGGTATATATTTTCCAATAAGAGTCCAATATCTATCTGATTCGATCTATAGATTTCCGGTGTTCGAAAGCCTTCTAAAAAGAAACATCATACCCTAAGAAAGTACTAATTCTTCAAGTATTCAAAGATTGCTCTTCTTCCAAGGCCCAAAAGGTGATGCTCCGATTTCCGTCGGCTTCTGAAAAACGCATTTTTGTGATTTAACCAAATATACCCTAGAGACTCTTATCAAAATACAAACATTCGATTGATTCTAATAAAAAGTATTTTAAAAAATTTAAAAGAAGGCTTCAAAAATATCTCTATTTAGTGAATTTTTCAAAGAAAAGGTTATTTTTTTGTTATCTCTTCTATTCTGAAATTCGCTTGATATTAATTTATATCTATATTTGCTTTCATTACAGGTTTCTAGCTAATAAATACATAAGAATCCCAAAATAGACAGCAACAAATTTGAAATTTGAAAATAAAGAAAGATTCAAAGCCATGCAAGAGGTCTGCAGCACCCTGGACACAACCCCAATGGGGACGCAGATCAAATCGGAGTCGCCGCTCAATCCGCTGCAGGTGCAAACGGGAGGACAAACAGCACTCCCCGTGGGTGTTGGTGTTGGTGGCTTGGTGGGTCAGGGCACGCAGCAGGGTGCTCCAGCGGTGCCGGCGGTGATGCTGGTCAACAAGATGGCCTCGAACTGTGATAAACGGGCCGCGGACACGGCCTACTGGATGGCCGCCTCCGAGGGTGGCTTCATCAATTCGCAGCCCTCGATGGCCGAGTTTCTCAATCACCTGAGTCCGGAGAGTCCCAAGATGGGAACACCTGTTGGAGGCGGCGGCGGCGTCGGCGTCGGCGTCGGTGGTGGTGTCAATGTGAATGTGAATGTCGGCGTCGGATATCCGGTGGGTGTGGGTCCAATGCCACAGACACCGGATGGCATGGACTCGGTGCCGGAGTATCCCTGGATGAAGGAGAAGAAGACATCGCGGAAGAGCAGCAACAACAATAATCAGGGTGAGTCCAAGAGTGAAATGCGAAACTCTCATTAATCAAGAAATCAATGCAATTTACCTTGCAACACGATGAGGCAGAGACGCAGCATGGCGGCGCCTTCTCTAGAACGGGGCACCCTTTTCTTTCCTTTCCTTTCCTTTCCTTTCCTTGCGTTTCCCACTCGATCAGAGACACACACGCACTCGTCTGGTCTCGTCTGGGGGCACGGGCACGGCTCCTTTGATGGACAGCTACGGAATGATGTGCCGGCAAAGATCTGTTATTTGCGATCATTTGTAACAATTTTCGAGGCAGACCAGTCCTCGGACCAGGCCAGAGCTCGCTCTGGAAATGCTTCATTTATTTCCCTTCGAATGTGTCGATTTCATTTGCGCAAGAAATATACGAATACTCGTAAGAAAAAAACCAAGAAAAGATCGAGACACAGCCGCATTTAAAATAAATGAGGTATCAAGGTTGTCCGACCATACGTTTTCCTGTCCATGTTGCATGCCACTCCACACCACACCACACTCCGCTCTCTCTCTCTCTCGGAGAGCGATTGCAACCTGTTATTTAGGTTCATTTGTCAAAATATTTTTTCCTGTCCCCCTTTTTATTTTTCTGCTCCCTCAATCAAGGGGGGGAAAAGGCAGGGGCAGTCAGCACCGGTTGCCATGTTGCAAGTTGCAATTGCAAGACAGGCAGGGCCTGGGGATAGGTTTTGTGTAGCACATAAAATGTTTCGCGGCTGTTGTTGCTGCTGCTGCTGCTGCATGCACCATTTTAAAGCTTTGCCTCCCATTCGCCATTCTCCCAATTCATTCCCCCATTTACTTCGCCCAGGGATACACTATAAAGGGATAGAGAGAGAGAGAGAGAGAGAGTTTCAATTAATCACTTTTATCGGATGGACAGAAGGCGAGCAGGCAGCAGCGGAAATTTGAATGTGTGAGAAGCGGTAGAGAGCGGAAAGAAATGAAGAAGCTTGGCAGCTGCTTTAGATTTCTTTCGGGCAGAGCTTGGGACTTGGGCGCGAAGCTTGCAATAAGAGCAGGTGCGATCCCTCTTACTCTCTTACTCCCTTACGAAGATTAAGCTTTGTAGCTGCCTTAGCTTTATATCACAAAAGCTTTGACTGTGACGATAAAATATCAAGAAGAGCAGGCAAAGCTTTGATGATCTTCTTTACTCCTTCGCCAACTGACATGCTACGACTTTCCTGCTCAAGAGAGTGGCTGGAGGAAAGAGAGAGCGAACGTATGTAAGACTGCTGCTGTCGTACTTGTTCTGAGAATGAAAGAGATGGAGATCTCTCAGACAAATGTTTGTGCTCTATGGATCATCTCTTCTCTCTCGCGTAATCGTAAATTTCCTGTCGCCACTCGAATGCTCTCTTTAAGCTCTTAAAGCTTTTCCACTGCAATAAATAGCCTGCAGAAGTAAGATCTTTCCATCAGGTCAGCATATTCCCACTCAAACGCCTCTATTTACCTCCTGCAGCGTTAACTAATGCAAATCTCCGTGAGACTATTTGCCCCTGCGCTGACTTAAACTAATACAATGCCAATTAATATTGACCACACACTCATACCACCGCCCTTATGTTGACAAATGAGTTACACTAATCCCCTGGAAGGTGTCTGGTAGAGTCCTAGAGTGTGTTTAACCTCAGAATCCCAACACGTGGCTGCCACAGTGCAGAATGTGTCCAGCCAAGCAAAAGGCAACATGCACGTTGTATTCCCCAGAGAAGGGGGAGAGAAAATCTTCCCTTTGGTTGGTTTTCTGGTCCCTCTCTCTGGTTCCCCGGGTGAAAGTGAGCCAATAAATAGCCGTGAAGCATTCCGAAGCGCCCGACACTGAATCCCGTTGAAGGGTCAATACATCTTTTCACTGCCGCACACTCTGTGGCAAGGGACTCGCTCCGATGATGGGGTGAGGGTGTGGAGGACGACATGCTGAGCGATATGGATTACAAATGATGTTGTAAATGTCTGTCCATACCAGGAGATGGAGAGAGCACACCGCTGTGTTCTAAAGAGTGTGTGTGTGGAGTGTTTGTTGAACAGTTTAATTTGTTAATGCTGTCAAATTAATTCCTTGTCAAACGGTAAACGATCTAAACGAGACTCTAGAGGCAAATCTTAGCAGAGAAACGGCTTTTGATTGAAGCAAAGATCATTACTTAGAGAAAATGGAGTAAAGGAAGTGGAAATCGTTTCTGAAATGAAAATTTTGACCTTTCTTTCCACCTTTAAAACTCTTTCCATTAAGATATATCCCCTGAAACCATTTTTACCACCCAAATCAACAGTTGAAAGTCGAATTTAACCTTTAACATGTATCCTTTCGCCAAAAACGTATGGCAATCCCCAGCACAAAATGCCTTCTGCCGCCTGGAATAACAATTTGTTTCCTTGTGCCTGCTTCCTCTACGACGGGGGCACTCATTGTTTGCCACAAATTGTTTGCAACGCATCCTGAATTTTAATGCGTGCCGCGTACAACTCTTCAGAGGATGAGCTCCATTCCATGTGGAGAGGAGAATGCTGATTGTGCCTGCCACCAAAAATTGTGCTCTACGCGCCACTCGAATGAGTGGAAACAATAAAATTTGTGGCAAGTGTTAATTAGGCGTAATGAACTGCAAGGAAAAGTTTGTAATTGTCGTGCAACATGTTCAAGTTTTTAGCGTCAAGTATCTGCGAGATACTTCATGGCTTCTTTAGGAAGCAAAGGAGAAAGATATGCGGGATCCACTGTCGGGGGAGTGGGGGGCAACCAATAAAAAACAATTTGACTTTGTTTGGGGCCCCGGTCCAGGCTATTGAAAGGCGGCAATCCATTGGCAGCGCCATCTGTATCATCCACTCCACTCCACTCCACTGCTACACTCCAATCCACTCCACCCATCGACCATATGTTGCGCCAGGACCAAAAGCAGTTCATCCTGACTCCTGGTTGAGGTTACGAGAGAAATGGTTCAGGGGTTCGTTCGGGGCATAAAAAATGCGTGCGGCACGACTGGAAACTTACCCCCCGAGGATTACGATTATAACAAACCATTTATCATAATATTTATGTTGATGCGTTGTGCTTTTTCTCAATGAAGGTCTCGTCTCACTCTCCCCTTCTCTCTCACTCAGAGTCGCGGCGCGCGTTGCCTTTTATTAATTTTATTTATGATGAGTCATTTGCACATTTATAATTTTAACCTTTACACTCGAATTCATTCGCAAAACGAATCCGGTGCGAAATCCAAGGGGAATCCATATCAATTCCAGATATTCAGATCTCGCAGGGAAATTTGAACAGATTCCCATATCAACCCCTTCGAGGGTGGGAGGGGAAGGGTTGCGGAAAGATTTATTTAGTTATCGATTGAGAATAATTGTGTGGTTGACATTAATAGACTTTCGATGGTGCAAATTGAAAGGAAGGTCTCTTGAAAATCGAGTAAATCAAGGGGAAGGATTTAGGCAACTATAAAATTACATGCTGGCCTTTCTGAGGCGATTGTTAGTCGATAAATAATTAGGATTCACAGTAGGTAAGTTAAATCCATAAAATATAAACAAAAGAGGAATGAAAAAGTTACTATAGTAATGAAAATAGTGAATACACTCAATAATTTTTTTGATAAGTACGTCCGTTTATATACAAATATTGAAAATAACCATACGATAATTGGTTTAAGATACGATATAGACCAAATATCGATACTTTGCGATAAACTTATGAAAGTTTCGCTTAGAAAATTATCACTTATCGTTATACTTTTTACACAAGCAATCAACTATCTTTCAAAACAAAGCATATCTCAGATAAACGATTCAAAACCCATTCCGTCGGCCCCTTCTTTATCTCCCAATCTCTTTACAGGCAAGTTTTCGATCAACTTTACGTCTTTTTCAAATAAAAAGTGATCACTAAATGTTATACCTTTCATAAAATGAATCTCCTTTCTTCAAAAACAAAGCAAGTCCCAGAAAAACCCATGAAAATATATCTCGTCAACCCCTTTTAGAGCTCCTCTTCCATCACAAGCCCCATTTAGATCCATTAAACCACAAAACTCCCAGCAGATAAGTGCCACCGCCTCCTCCTTTGCAGAAAAGGTAAACCCGACTCCATTGAACTTGAAATTCATATCACCGAGCATTAAATTAATTGAGGCTCGTCAAATCATTTTTTGGTGGACTAATTACGCGTCAAACGATGAAAAATCTCCATGGGATGTGTCCCAGGATTTCTATCTTTCACCTCAGTTGGGGATCTTTTGGGGATTTCTCGGGTCGCCTTCAATTAATTGTTACGACTTTATTATGGAGATAAGTGCACGCAGCGTCTTGCGGCCGGAGACAACAAAAGGGTTCTAATTGGCAGAGACCGCAGGACTCATGCCAGGATAATGCCGGGCAGACGTTTACGCCCCAAAGGGTTTTTTCCATATTTATCTTTGGCTTTTTCCTGAGTTTTTCTTTCGGTTTTCCCCTCTCCAGAATGACTGTGTGGAAAAAAAATCTGTTACAATTAGTTAAGCTCGAAGGCCGGCGGCGTCGGCGGCGGCTGGCCCAAAGTAAATTTTAAGATTATTATTTTTTTAAGCAATTTTTTTCGCCGGCTTTTTACATTATCTACAAACTGATTTGTCATTATTTTTTAAAGCGCAAAGAGGGCGAAATTTATCAGGGAATTATAAACATTAATGTGGCAGTGGTGCAGGCACTTGCCAGCAACTGCTGCGGATAGAGGAAAAACTTAAGAATGAGAGAGGAATTTCCAATTGAAATATAAACCTTAATAACCAATCTTAGGGCAACAATTCCCGGGCCATCATCTACGCTTCATTTTGTCCTTTAATTTCCCTCTAAAATTGGTCATTTGGTTGCCGATTTCCCGAGGAAAAAGTTTGTTTAACGTCAACCAATATCGATTTAATTTTATTTCCCACTCATTTAGCTAAAAGCGTTCCAGTGAAAAATGAAAATATTTGCTCACGATTAAATTAAAAAAAC